ACGCTGTGCCGGCTAATGAGCTACAGTCCTCTCAGCCCTCCCACTTTCCAGTGGCCACACCTCCCGTCGTTTATCTAACTTTCCACATTTTCGCATTTATAATGCTAATTCAGCAAGTTGATTACATGCCAGCCAGCCGGGCGTCCAGGATGCCGGATTATAAAATACAACATTGTGCTGCAAAAGTGGAGCAAAAAGCAGTCGAGCGCCCGGACCTCAGATAGTGGCCCTCCCCCACAGAAAACACTTTGCTTTAATGTGCATTTCGGTGGCAATTATGAGCGCATCACCGCCCAACTGGGAGCACTTTTCGGCCAATCTTGTGCTCCTCCGCTGTCTGCCACTTGTAATTTGCATGGCGGACGAGCATGTTCTGCATGTTCTGCGGCCAAATGACCCAAACTGGCTTTCATTTGTGCTCTCCACTGCACTTTCTCACAGTTGCCGCACAAAGTGCCCCCAGCTCGATGTTCTGAAAAAGGTCCAACATGAATATACCTTCCAGATACCTTGCCACAACAATACCTACAGTTTAAAATGTATCTGACGATTTGAAGTGTCAATTATTTGTTCAAAAAACAATTTATTTGTACAGTGCTGCTCAATACTTGAACCGAAGTTTCAATGCGTATTTAAGTAGGCGAATGATTATGAAGCTAGCCAGTTTATGGTATTATGAACGACATTAAGATTTGTGCCCACGAAATCATCCCAGCCTGAAAGCTGTCCAGTTGTGCAGTCACAGATAATGCTCCATAATTAAATCGGTGAATCTGATTCCAGGAACTCCGGGAACTCCAGCCAGCAGCCCATTATGAAATCCAGAATTGCCCACATGGGCTTGGTTGTGGATCTGTTGTGTTCTACGCCTACTTTGTTTGCATTTCAAATTTGGCGTGCTGCATAATTTACAATTTACATCCATCAGCGAAAGCCCAACAACATGGCTGCATACATATTTAGCCATCGCCGGGTATTTTCGTTGGCCAAAACCAACTGCCAACAGATACGCCAGCTGAAAGTTACAGCTGCACAGAGGAAAATTGCACCTTCATTAGAGAGTTTGTCGAGTTCACAAATTGCGTTTTGAAATCATTTATAAACGTGCAATTTCCAATTGCATGCAGCGAAAAGGGGTGAGCACATCTGAATTTTTAAGTCCAACTATGTTGTTGAGCACATTTGCTGGCAGTGTACCCCACTCCCTCTCGAACTGCTGCATTTTTCATGTTTAATTTCAGTTAGTGCCGCCTGCCAGCTGAGAGCGCGAATCCTTTTGGCGTCCATCCAGAACGGGTGTGTGTGTGTGTGTTTTAGGTGTTTTTGTTTGGCAATTGTTTTGAGTGTGTGTTTGGCAACACAGACCGCCACACACGGACCTCTATTTGCCATGGTCGTGTCAGCTTGATGTTTCTGTCAATTGGCCCGAAACTATGCTCTATACTCCGCCATTTCGCATGCCGTTGGTGACTCTGGCCAGCAAAGGCAACTGGCCAATATCCAGGGAGATGTCTATGTACAAGTATATAATGGAAACTTCTCTAATTGGCCCCCAACTTTCCGACACCTCAGCTCCTTACCTGGTCAAGTATCTCTGCTCCTTGGAGCTTCTAATGAGTAGCAAACACTTTGCGCATCGTAAAGTTTCGGGTGGTAAAGAGTTTTAAAACTTTTTAAGCCACTCGCATATGAATATTATTCCGACAGCTTCTCCCACTGGACCTCGCACATGCCAAGGACATCCCCCCGCCCCGAAGACAAAAACCAAGTCCGAAGTCTGAGGTCCCTGCTCAAGTGACACATCCCAGCCTTCCAACCTCTCACGCCCCCAGAGGTATAAATAAGCCAGCATGAGTTGTCTTTAAGTGAAATTCAATAACGCATAAAATTCCAGGGCACAGAAACACAGAAACCCCCAGCCAACACACATACTCACATATTCTAAGTGGGTGCTTTTCGGGTGATAGTTCATCGGGGCACTCCACAAAAGTGCAGGGGAATTTTGTATATTACAAATCATTGTTCGGCTCAAGTGCTTGCACTGCAAGGAAAACACTTTTCAGTAGCAAGTAACCACGGACCTGAAACTTGTAGAGCTTAGCTTGAAGTTATTCAAAGATATTCCAAACTACGCATATGTTTTTTCGGTGTAACTTGCCGCATAAGTTGGCTACAAAATTGCTGAGTAAGCACGTTGGAAGCCTTGTAAATTTTAGAGCACCAAAGACTGACATTGCTAACTCGGTTATGAATTCCCATTTACTTTTGCATTAAATCCTCGCCAAATATGCAAAACACATTTGCCAGCTGGAAAATTAAAGGCGGGAAACCGAAAGGAAAATGGAAACTTCACCCTCGATAAGTCAACAAGTCGTCGCTGTTTTTTGCCAAGACAAATTAAATTTATAAACAAATGGCGCACAGCAAACAGAAGTTGTTCTGGCGAAAAAGTTAAGCATCGTGCATTTGCGAAAGCCCCGGGGTTTCGTATACCAACCACAGGATCTAAAGGACGAACTCGATTCGAGGAGCAACAAGCAAATGCCAGTTATTATTCCTGCCCCCGCCGAAGTACTGCCTCTTTTTTCGTGTTTCGGGTTTTTTTCGCATTAACTGAAAACTGTTGAGGGAGGGGGAGGGGGCGTGGGCGTGGGCGAAGGGAAGGATGTGTGGGTGTGTGCGCCTTTAAAAATGTTTCACTTAAGCAGGGAAGCTGCTTCGAGCCCCAATAAAAACAAAATGTGTACACGACAAACAAACATAAAGTTAGGAGCTCGTTAAATTACGCCAAGGGGTAAGAATATGCGAACATGCTTTCACTTTTACAGCTGTGTGTATCTGAATAATGCGAGTTGTCAAGAGAGACATATCCCCTTCTGCGCTGCCAATATCCTTCCTAGTTCCGCTCACCCATTTCAAGATAGCTAAGTGCGCCGCCAGCTATTCCCAAATATATATATTTTATAATCCCGACTGAAGTCGGCCCACAGCACGTGACGCCATAAAGTCGGTTGAACGCTGGACGACTTAGCATAAGCCCGGCTTGCGGCATTTCCCAGCCGGTAAAATCTTGCCACCTTTGGTTCCTATATCTTGGCTTATAAATACATATATATGTGTAGGTGAGGGGTCTGCCGAGCTGCCCATTCATTGGAGCGAAATTCGCAGGACGCGTTTGGGTGCAAAGGGCGCGAAAATCTGATTTGTGAACGGACATCAAATACTAAAGCCAAAGCAGATATGTTGGTGTGCGGATCAAGAGAGAAGCCCAACCAACACACATTAACTTTGACCTTTAAGCTGTAACCTTTGGGAGCCAATTTAAATTTGAAAAGTTTCGGAAGCTTAATTCTTTTATAGTCATTAAAATTGTAGTACAATCAGATTAAAATTTTATTAGTCGTGGATAATAGCCACTTTGGCTTAATTTGATCAATTGAAAAATATGAATAATTTGTAGCAACAAATGGCATTCAAGTGGCAGCCAGTAAATAAAACATGGTAAATTGATGTGCTTTTAAAGCAGCTTTGGCAAAAAATCCAATCGCAAGCAATAGCAATATAGCATTTCAAAATGATTGATTGGATGCCCAAGTTCGGCAAGGCCAACTTCATTCTATAAATAAGCGAATCGGTCGGAAGGGAAGCGAGTGCAACTCGAACGTTCGTATTAATCGCTTCCTCGAAAGCGGAAAGTTTATCAATTCCGCCAGAGACCCAAAAAAGTGCTCTGGTTTGAGCGATATTAAAAAGTGCCCCAATACATTTATGTGTACATATTTTTTCGTAAGGACATCAATAACCGATGAGCTGCCATAAATCCATGGGCATTTCGTTTTATGTGCGGGTTCAGTGGTAACACGGTAACTACAACGCTTTCGGCAACCCCATGTAACCCACAATGTGGTCACGCAATGCGGAAAGGCCGCAGAAGGCGGTAGAGTTGTCAAGGAACCACTTTAATTTCCTTGATATATGCCCGTTGCGATAAGTTCCACCTGACAATGCTGGCATATCTATTATTAAGATCTGGCATCTGGAAAAGCCGCTCGCAATCAGCAGGAACACATGCCAGTGGCCGCAAAAGCAGCCGGGAGCAGATTCTAGGCCTAAGTTGGGGTCATTAACATAAACAACTCTGCAGGCGTGGATCCCCCAAAAGGCGCACAGCCCGAAAAAAGGGGCGAGGGCAGCAGAAGCTCCCCGAAACAAAGAACCCGTGTCTGAAAAGATGCATAAATCATGGGCGACCTGCCAGGATCCGAAATAGAAACCGAGAAACCGAGAAACCGAAAATGCGAGAAACGAAAGTGAAATCGAGGTACCACGATGTCAGCAAATGGCAAAACTGTCATTTTCTAAAGAATTTAATTGACAGTGCAAAGTCATAAATTATATGGCGTATCAAAGAGGGCGAACAGGAAGCGTATCCTGCGGCATTTTGGGCTAATTGTGGGGATGCCCCGTGCCACTTGGCAAAACAAAGAGAGAGGAGGTCCTGGGGAAACACGTGTGTGACCGGGCGTGCGTGAAAGTAAAAACATTCCTATTTGGCTTGCTAATAAATTAATGATACGAGAATGCTCGTCGGGGCGCCGCCTCCGAAAATCTCGGCAGGAATAGGGGACAAACACTTTGGCGACACGAGCACGCGAGGCAATTTATGGCCGAGCAGGACACTAATGGAAGGACCAGCAGCCGTGTGACGAATTCAGGATGTATGCGTCCTTTGCCAGGACGAGGCGTCACTGGGACTGGCCCAAACAAAATGCCGGCCAAATCATTTATCTTTCGGCCATTGTGGAAGTGCTTAGCCAACACTGGCAGATGTAAACACTTCACTGGATCAGCAGACCAGGCTCGAAGTATTTCATGTGGAAAGGCAGGGCTACCAATTAATGGGCGGCAATTTAAGGAACTCTAGGCTGTATATTGGAAAAGGAGCACAAGTCACACTCTAGTTCTTAAAAAGTAGATGCTTAAGGGCCTTTTGTTTTTGACACACTACACGTTGACAACTCTGGGCTTATAGAAATTAAATGTTCTATTTCATCCGTTTACTTGTTGTTGGTTATACCCATAGCACCAAATTGTAGCAGCAATGGAAAATCATAAGGATGTGGTCACCCAGCGCACTTGGCGCCGCATCCTGGAGCACCTGAGTCCGGTAAAAGGATACAAGGTGGACGAGAGGGGAGTCAGCTGGTACCGAGGACTGTCCCAGTCCCAGATGGCGGCAGCAAACGGATTGTTCGACATCCTGAGGGAGAACATGGATAAGAAGACGACCTCGAATGTTGCGAAGCTAATGGTGAAACTGGGACTGCATCCCAATCCGCCGTGGAAAACGCTGCACACGGTGATCAAACTGAGCCGCGGTAATGATCTGGCCTTCCTCTGGTTCCTTATGGAAATGTGCTACAAGACACCCAATCACGGCGAGACCTACAGTGTTAACGAGCAGATCATCATGACGGCCATCTTCCGGTTGGACCTCTGTCCCACTCTGAGGGAACTGGACCGCTGGCTGCCACTGCCACATTCCTCGCAATCGGATAGGGATAAAGCAGACGCTCTGAGGCAGAGAAGTCTGAGCTTCAAGAAGGAAAAAGAGGATGAGCGCCAAAGGGATTTGGCCAGAAAGGCAAAGATCGTGACACCTCTATCTCCCTACTTCCAGCAACCCAATGTTCCCGGAAAGCTTCGTCACGAGCGCAGATTGCTGTCCGACTATCCGGACACTGCAGCCATTCTATTTCACATGGACGAGGAGCCCATCGAAGCGTACCTCTGGTCCCGCTGGTTTGGCAGCTACACCTTGAACGAGGCACATCGGGTGGGAAAATCCATAATCTTCGAGGAGATTAACAACATTTTCGAGTCCTTTAAGACAGCCTCTCTGCCAACCCGCGACGTGGAATCCCTATGTGCCCATCATCAGTACATTCGGGAGATGGAGAAGTCTCTGAAGGAGAAGCTGGCGAGGATGAAGCGGAGAAAGTGCGAGGAGCTCATCGAAGCGAAAAATAGACTGGAGGAGAGGAATCGGAAAAGAGTAATTGAGGAGCTGGAAGAAATGAGTGCCTGCTACTTGAAGCGGTTCCAGGAAATGGCAGCCAGGGCCAGGTTGGCGTCCACCAGGAAGCAACTCTTTGGCGGCAGTTTTGTGAAGGCATCGTATTTTGGCTGTCCCGATGATGAGATCAGATGTGATGCTTTCGATGAAGAAAGGTGCCGGACCTTCGAGGCAGAACGGGCAACAGAAAGCCATATTGGTGATATACCCAAAATTAGAACTTGCAGTAATATTAGGCTAGCAAGCGGGGCCCAGGCTAAGTCCAAAACTAGATCCAGATCTAAATCGAAATCGAAAAGCAGGTCAAGATCCAAATCAAGGAAGCCTAGAAGTGAAACGCCATCGATTAAAGAGCCTGAAGTAGTCGTGGAAGCACCTGTGCTTCCCAGAAAAGGAGAGGAAGATCTCCGCGACATCAAGGTCAGGTTATTGAAGGGAGAGAAACCCATCTTAAAGGGATGTCCCGACTTTCAACTGGAACCTCCCCACTGCGCCAAGTGCCAACATTTCGACACCCAAAAGGGTTTACCCCAAAAACAACCCAAGAAACAGCGACCTAGTAGCCTAATGCAGTTCCTCGAAAACTGCGTCTCTGAAGGGAATGGAAAGGAGGATGAGGATCTCGAAATGGATACACATCCTTCCGCCCATCCTGTTCAGGAACCCAAGCTTTTCGATCTGGGACTTTTAGGAAGAAATTGCCCGAGGTTCAACTATCGTGAGTTGTTTGGCTCGCTGCACAGGACTCAATTGGACGACGAACGGATGCGTCTAAAGGAGGCCTTTGTAAGAGCCATCGACGATGATGTCCAGTACCTCAGTGCGGCCTTAAGTGGCGAGGAAGAGGGTTCTCTGGATGCTCTGGTGGACCGAGCAGCCAAGAGGGTTTTCGCCCGGGATGTGAAGACCTTTCACAAGGAACTAGAGAAGTTGCATAAGGAAAAGGCTGCGAAATTGAATAAGTCCGATTCTCGTTTGAATTTTGGCCAGGAGTTCTACGATCCCGAGAATATCCCTTTGATGAAGGAGATGCTTAGGTTGGGCCTGGAAAAGGTGGCCCAGGACAAGAGATATGTATTGCCCACCCTGCCCGATGTGCACTCTGTTCCCTACCTCATCGAATGGATACGATTGCGTTATGGAAAACGCTATTCCTATGCGGAAAAGGAACAGATTTTGAATAGAGATAAACTGGTCATGGATCAAATAATTTGGATGATGCACTCCAACCTCGCAAAGATACCTTCCCTGCCTGTTCGCGACAACTTTACCGACTTGGCCAAGCTGCGGGAGTTGAGCAAGAAGTTCAGGGAACGCCACACCAAAAAATTCCTAGAAGCCATCATGGAAGTGGAGAGGGTCTTTTATTCGGCCATGAAACCCCATCTCTGCAATTTAGCAACTGAGGAGACCTTTCTGGCCTACTTGCCCGCCCATTTCCACGATCTGGGCTTCACTGTTAAAACTGTAAGCTGAGTAATGGCAATTTCCTATGAACTGGCCAATTATTACAAGAAGATTCCTCTTTTCCAAACCATGTAGTTTTACTAAGCTTCAGTTGGGTAATTGCCTGCTGTCCGCAAATCATCGCATTTAATTGCGGTTGTGTCCACCTTGGAGCGGCTGTTCCACTTGGAACAGTTTTAATACGACACAAGGGGCAATCATAAAAAACCTAATTTGTATAAATAATTTAAGGGATGTTTGTTACATTGAGAGTTCAGTAGCTTTCTTTTAATTTCTGGAGGCTTACTGTGTGTGCAAACCTTTAGCCAAAGTTGCTCACCTAACGCAATTAAAGCTGGTTTACCACTTTGTCCCTGAACGGACAGCTGTGCACCTGTTATGCATCGTTGCATTTCCGTTTCCATGGATGGGCATGCTTCTGGCCAAGTCGGCTTCCTCGAGGGACTTGCAAATGGGCTGCTCTGAGCGCCCATGCCCATTAAGGCGAACCTGCCGTTTGTGGGTGAATTATTAAAGCCGCCTCTGCCTTTCGGCCGACTGACGAAGGGTTTTCGCCGAAATCTCCGTGTAAAATTCATCCCGCAAGCTACTGTGTGCACGGTAGCGAATTGCGTTATCCGCTCGGAAAACGGCGTAAAGTCAGCTTATTAAAATATTAATTGAAAGTGGAAGCGCCGATAACTGACCGACAACAATGGCGGCAGCCCTTCCATTAACATGCCATTTCCTTCTCAGTACCGTGTCCGTGTCCGTGTCCATGTTTTCCTGGGTCGAAATGTAAACACGGCGCTGCTTTATCGCCCTCATAATTACTGGATAATGAAAGCGCCAGACACGGTCAAATAAACGGCGGCAGCATCCCTAGCTCCTTAGATCCTCGGCTCACCTGGGCAGCCATACGGGATGGCGACCTCGTAAATGCGGGCTAACCATAAAGCTGCCGACACAAAAATATCCGAATAACGCGTTAGAATGCCCAGAATTCACTTTGGCAACTCTAGATTGCGCATACGCCCAGTTGCCCCACAGAAAACGCCACATTCTGCAAATGCCCATACATTTCGCCAGCGGAAGATGCTGCATTCATTGTTTTACGAGCCATAAACATTAACAATTAGGCCGGGTACCCAAGCCGTTATGATTTTTACTGCTCGCTTTAATTAGAAAAGCACATTAGCAGGGCTCCTAGACAGCTCGTCTCGATTCGCCTGGTCCATTTCTGTGCTAATTGCAGTGCTCCTGGACGTTGGTTCTAAAGGCGCAGAATACGTAGTACCCCACACCGGCGCCCAGCAGAACGGCCACACAAAGCCACACATTGAAGGTCATGAAGACGAGCATCAGCAAAAAGGATATGAGCACCTGCAGGACGTGCAGGAAGGTCTGCAGGATGTGCATGCCGGAGCAGTAGACCTTGAGCTTGGATGTTCTGCCAGCGGGAGGGGTACTTTCCTGAACATGGTGGTGGGTGTGCGGGGTCAGGATCAGCGAGGATTGCGCCTGGGGAGAGCTATGTCCTGGCGGCTGAAGAGGCGGCATCGGCGGCGACCTTGGACGGTAGGCGTAGATCTGGGTTCCGGACTGTGGGTTGGTCCTGGGGGGATACGTTGGCTGGTTGTAGTTGTAGTTGGCCTCTCTATATCTTCTCGGGGGATTGTTCTGGTCCCTGCCGCCAGCCAAACGCTTTCGGTCCCAGGCGAACAGCCACTCCCTGAAGAATTTCAGGGCCTCATAGAGCACCGCGAACACAAAAATCAGCAGGCAGGAAAGGGTCAGTGCCATGGCGGACTCGGTGCGCCAGAACTTGAAGAGAATGGTCTCCGCATCGCCAGTATGAAAGAACATCGCCATGGTCATGTGGTGGCCTTCACCGTCGTGGTGCCCGTGCTTAGTGTGCTCTCCATGGTGTCCATGATGAGCCATTTCAGGTGAATGGTGTCCTTCGTGAGCGGAACTCGGTGGAGCAGGTTCCGGGGGTACATGAGCACCGTGATGGTGAACGTGGCCCTCCGAAGCATCAACTCCATGGTGATTCATGGTCGAGCATCGGTGGAAAATATTGTTGTTGTTAGTCTGTGTATGCCCGATCGACAATTAAGTGACAGCTTTCAGAAAGATGGAAAATTTCAGTAGGTCTGGAAACACTTCATCGAAGAAGTTAATTTATTGACCATTTGGCATTGAACCAACCGTCCAGATTGAGCCTCGCCCTGCTACCTCTCCTTTCGAGAGATTTTCTATACCTATCTGTAAAGTGACGAGTTTCGACCGCAGCCCAATGCCAGTTCGTTGTATCATTAACATAATTGACAGGCGGGCAGAACATGCCACGTGCCACGTGCCTCGAAATCAATGCAGTTCCCGTCCAGGACTCGTTGATGTCTGCCCGGGACAAGCGAGCAAATTTGCTGGCACTAATGGAATCCATTTTTCACCCGCCGCTCGGATGAGACGAGCTGCACCGAAATCCTCCGGCCCAACCATGCATATTAATAAAGATTTAAGCGTCAGCAGTCGGCGAAATTAAGATCGTACACTGGGCGCCCGGCTCGAGTACTTTGAATTGCTCACGAGCTGCCCATTAGATGGTCCAACACCGAATATTAATCATACGCGGCGTTAATTTATGGGCCAGTCGCTGATTGCCGAAACAGGATTTTTCAGCCAGACGTGCTGCAATCTCTTTCTGGGAGTGTTTCTGGGAGTGTACTACTTGGCGGGCAGGGGAATCCCTACCGATTTTCCTTTTCCCAGCTAAAATGAAGCCACTAGCTGTCGCTGGGAACGCCTCGCTGACCGCCCATTAATGCGGCTCCTTTGTGCAGGAGCACATTAATCATGGCGAATTCTGCAGCAGCCATCGCAGCATGGCTCGTGTAATTTTTTTCGGCGTCTTTTATTTTGTGTTTTGTTCTCTTGCCCCACAAAAAACAATGAAACCAACGAGACCCGGCAACAAAGTGAGTCCTGCATTAAATGCTCTGCTTTTCTATGGCTGCTCGAGCACTTCCGCTTTCGCCGAGAATCACAGACCTTAATTGTCGAGACGGAAGAAAAGCGAGAATGGTATAACTAGGATTGGAAGCATGTCAAATACCCTGCCGAAGCACAGCAATAATAAATGAATGTAATTTGTGCTGAACAGTAAAGTTGTAAGGTACTTAAGCTCCCAAGAGTGCTATAGCATAGCCACCCATTTTTATAATTCCTAGGTATTTGTCATTCCTTGGACATAGGAAACTGAATTGAATTAGGGAAATCCCCTTACGTTATCCAGTTCAGAGGAGAGCCTGCCAGCTACCCTTTACTTAAGCTGCAGTGTCCATTGTTTGCAGTCCTTTGCTGCTCGGAAATGTAATTCCTTTTGATGCCCGACACGGCTTAAAGCTCCTCGAGGTCCTCGAGACTCGCCGCTCCATTCTTTATCAATTGTCTTGTAGAGCAAAGCGTTAATCATGCGGCATTTAACGAGACTAAAGCCGACTGCTCCCCGGTGACTGTGATTTCTATGGTCAAAGTTTTGCTGCCCGTTCCCTGCGTTCGACAAAGCGATAGCCATGAATTCCGAGAACGAATGAAAAATGTTGGCCAAATGTGTGGGCGTTTGGGAGCCCAAAGGAGCAACGGAAAAAAGGAGCCCTGGCAACCCGCCGGGGCAGCCTTGCGTGTAATCGCGCTGCTAAGTCCATTTAATCAACTTAATTTTGTACAAATTCTCAGACATTTGGGCTCACTTTCTCCCCTGCTTTCATTTATTTCGGGCAAGTGACGCAATCCCCGCAGGACGGCATTTAATAAAACATTTTCCACAATTATAGCAAGGCGGGGGAAAAGCTTCAAGATCCCAGATTCCTATCGCTCAACGCTGAAATGGAGTTGTTAGCGCTCAAAATAATTTGCATAACTTGTTTTGAATACACTTTGACAAAGCCGAGGTGTGCGTGTTGCATACTTTTGGGCTGCCCTCGGCTTACCCGGCGGATACGCAATATTTAACTTGACAATAATGGCAAGTTTTAATGAAGGAGCCCGGGCAACACGTCCGCTTTAGATTTTTGTCACAGAAGTACGAAAAGTAAATAACATTTGATTACACTTTATATTTCCGCTGCTCTCAGCCATTTAATACCCACACAAAATATTAAATTCCCATTTCGTGGAGATGCTGCTTTGATATTTATTAAATTTAACATCAAGGGCCGCCATCCCTCGATCCGAAAGTCAATTGCTGAAACTGGAGCCCATTTCTTCTGGGCAAACACATTTGGAAATTTGTCGTATTACCTTGCAGCGCATTTGACATTTGGCTGCCGGGGGAGGGTCATCGATTTTCGATTGCGTTATCGAAACAAATCTAGCCACTTTGACGGCCTTTTCGCTGGCATCCGAATGGGAAAACTGGAGAGTGCCACTCACAGGAAATTGAGCTCAATTGGGGTTTTCGCTACGTGCCTCTCACTTTCGCCTTGGCTTTTATTGTTTCCCAGGATCGCCAAAAAAAGGGTCCTGTCTGTTGATTTATGTGGCAAGTGCTTGTTAACACTCCACGGCCACGAGCTACGAGCCCGACAACTGCAGGCATCTTCATAAGCGTATTTCCTAAAAAAAAGGGAAACGCGTAGGAAAGTTTTCAAGGACATCGGGCGGCCCTCATGGCGATTCCCGATGTTTCATAAACGTCGCATTAGTGTCGCACAAATACTAACAGAAAAAGTGCTCGTAAAGCTGCAGACTTTACTGCTGGCGATACGATAAATTTTACGTTTCCCGGCTGCAGCACAATTTCGCTGCACTCGTCAGCTATTTTTCCATTTCGGGATTTTTTCGCGTGCCGAACGCAGCTATTTGAATACAGAAATCCGCTTAACTGAACCGAACGGCAAGGCGCCCCGAAAACACATATCCCCGTCCACATCCGTGGCGGAAGGCGTGGCCTTGTGCTCCACGAGAGTCCTTTTTTTCGACTGGCTCACAAAGTGGCATCCTAGCATGTGTCCTGTAGTGCGGAGGAGCGGGCGTGAAATCATCATTTATCAGCAGGCAGCCAGGAGCGCAAGATGCACGGTGAACAATGTCTGAGCATAGTACATGATGAACATAAGTTAATATTTTTCGAGGAGTTTTAGATATTTGAAAATGTTTAGGAAAACTAAAGTCACACATCAGTTCCAGATTTACACATAGTTCGATTCGTAAATTTATCGTACTTTCCGCCAACCTGTTTTCTCGCTGTGTATTGGCAGAAACATACCGAAACTCTGTCAAATTGGTGTGCTGCTTCCAGCGAATGAGAAACTGATTCTGGTACTGGCGCCGTCAGATCCGCCTCACTTTGTCATTGTCATACCCTTTTTGGGAGCTATGCTTCCTGGAATCTCGGTTGCTTAGGACCGCTTGTCTTGTTTATGCCTCACAAAAAGTGGACTGAGAAGTGGGGAATGTGCAGATATTTGCATACAGCCTAGCACATTTCCAGATTTCGAGGGCTTCCGCCGCAGATGTTCGTTAGTTTGATGGTGTTTGGCTGTTGGTACGAGAGCCATGTTGGCGTCGCTTTTGCTCCTGCAGTTGCTTTCCCCTAGCATTTCTCGCTTTTCACTTCCGTTTCCGTTTGCCCAACTTGTCATTCGCAATGAGCTGTATGCACTCGGTGGCGACTGGATTGCAGCTGCTTTTCTATGTTTTTTGGGCCGCCGCCCGTTGAATTGCACTTTGAGTTGACATTCAGCTGCAAAAACGGGCAGCAGCTGCTGCAATTCGCATTTGTTGAATTTGAATTAAGTTCTGACTTTAATTCGCATTTTTGAACCCGAGAAAGTGAAACCTGTCGCTCAATTTATTAGTGCAACTTAAAAGGTAATTACTTAAGTGCTTTAACGAGCTGACATGCTACAAGAAATGTCGATTAACACCCTTGAAAAGAATGTTTCAAAATATATCGTTTTAACACTTTAACAAGATGTTCAAGTATAAAGCTAAATAATACCACCCAAACATAATAAAACTTCAGAGCAAGTGAATTACATTGATACGGTTGCCTTTTATTTGATGCCTTAATTTCCGCAAGTTTGTTGTTGGGAAAACAGTTTTCAAATGCAGTTTTGTAAGCTTCACTCGAAAAGTGATGTTAGTTTTATTTGTTTGTATTCTCAATTACTTGGTTTTTGTTTTTAATTATAATATTTGATGTTTGTTTTTTTTAATGAACTTTAGTTCGGTTGCGTATAATTAGCTGCGCTTAGTTTGTCATGCTCGCTTGCCCTTGTTTGTTTTTCATTTTCATTTTCATTATCCGATTGCCGTTTTCAATTTTCCATTTCACTTTAGTTTCGTGGGTGTGAGGGAGTATATGCGTGTGGGTTATGTAAATAGTTTGATAGTTTATCTCATCAAGTTACGAATAGCTCAGTTTCCATTGTTTTTGGTTGGTTGTTTGTTGCGAATATCATAATGCACTTCTCGCAGTGCTACATACACATACAATAAAAACATGCACACTTAGTTGACTAGATCTATATGTATAGGTATGTCTGTATTACGTCTGATGCAGCTTCGATCTAAACATAAAAGTAATGCTTAATGTTTGGTATCACAGAGAGGCGTGACTTTTCATACAAAATACAACAAAAGACTAATGCAGAAAGTTACAAAATACAATTTAGTTCTTCTCACTTGAGCTGCAGCCTGAGCCGCACAGTGTATACATATATATATAGGCTACCTTTTCTATATGTTTATATAATATATATCTTTATAGACAGAGCCGCAGGTGGCTGGGTATTTACAGTGGATAGCTTCTTGCTCAAACGTAAATATATCTAGGTTAATCAGTAGGCTTAATTTGGCTGCAATCTGCAGTTTGTAAATTTAATTTTTGGCTCAGTTTGAGTATCGCAAATAAACTAACTACGCTGGCAAAATTTGGGATGGGGATTGTGGGATCTTTCTCGTTTTGGGAGGTATCAATAGATTCGATAACGATTGTGTCTCATATCCGGTGCTGATTGTTTTCGAAACATAAAAGGAACCGTAGAAACCTGTCACAGTTACAACCGTGTGTGTGTGTTTGTGTGTGTGTGATTGGGTTGGTGAGTGTGATTGTGTGTGTGGCACGTACCACGTCGATTGCTTAGTTCTACATTTAAAATTACAACAACAAGTTACATTTAGAGGAGTCGTCTACAATTCGCACTTTGCTGCAAGTTTCAGGGGGTGCACATATACAGAGATACGCACTACTAGCACTACTACATACAAATATCCATGTGTGTGTACTGGGGTGGCAATATGCGGGGAAAGGTAATATTTGCTCTGTTTTCCGTACGTTTTCTGGTGAGTCAACGGGTCTATAATCAATGTAACCCTTTTCAAGACATCTTTAAATGAAATGCAAAATTAATTTATAGACACTCAACGGACCTAATCGAACTCACAGATACAAATAATATTAAATGATTATTTCTGCTAAATAAACTATACCGACACGGTACCTTAAACATCTCAGAGCCTACTTTTCCCACTAAAGACTTTAAATTTTCTAGTCGCTTAAGAAGTACACCCCAGTGTGTATACCTAAGTGTGTGAGTGTGTCGAGCAGAGGAGTCGCCTTCTTCCGGAAACCTGGGGAAGACCCTTCGAGCAGCTCAGATTCTCCGGGATGCAGGTCCTCGTGGATGGGCCTAGAGAAAGCTCTCCCTCGCCCCGTGCCTCTCATCGCCCAGCATCACTCGCTGCGAGGGAGGCTCGCCGTACTGATCCTGGTAGTAGTTCTCCCGCATCATGGTGTTCAGACTGGAGCAGCGGAAGTAGAGGATCTCCTGGAAGGGTTTGCGGAAATCCCTGTTCAAGGTGGCATAGATAATAGGGTTCAGCAGGGAGTTGGCATAGCCCAGCCAGAGGAATAGGGACGAGAGCGATGCCGGCACGTGCATTGTCTCGAAAGGACGAATCAGGGCCAGGATGAAGAAGGGCAGCCAGCAGACGGTAAAGGCCGACATGATGATGCCCAGAGTGGTGGAGGCCTTCTTCTCCTTGGCCAGCTGAAACCGCAGCTTCTTGTGATGCGGAGAGCCCAGGAGTCCAGTCGAACCACTCACGCCACCCCCACTGCCATGTCCTGCGAGTGCTCCTCCTCCGCTGCTCAGCCCACCACAGGTGGAGTAGGTGAGCGAAGTGTTGCCCACGCTGCTGTGCCTCTGGCCATTTCCCGAGCTGGCCAACTCGGTGTGGCCCAAGGACGGAGCCTGCGGTGCCGACGGCGATCCCGTGCCATTGAGAGCCTGCTGCAAATGCGTCTGTGCGCGTTTCTCTTCCAGGACAATCCGCCTCGCCGCCCTGAAGATCTGGTAGTACACAAACAGCATCACCGACAGTGGTATGTAAAATGAGCCCAGCGTGGCGTAGATCTGATATGCGAAGTTCTGGCACACCGTGCAGATGGGCTGGCCCTCCTCGTCCTCGTGCTCGTTGCCCAGGATCAGCAGAGGAGGCAATGAGATGCAGGCGGCCGCCAGCCAGACGATGCCCACGCACAGCATCATTCGCCGAGGAGTCCTCTTCACCCCGTACTCCAGGGGTTTCGTGATGGCCAGGTATCGATCCACGGATATGGCACACAGATTCAGGATCGAGGCCGTGCAGCACAGCACATCGAAGGACACCCAGATGTCGCAGAGCAGCGGACCAAAGTTCCACTTCTCCAGCACTTCGTAAAGCAAGGCCATGGGCATCACCAGAAGTGCCACACAGAGATCCGAGAGGGCCAGGGACACCAAAAGGTAGTTGCACGGTCTCCTCAGCTTGCGCACCATGCAAACGGCTATGCAGACCAGAACGTTGCCCACCACCGTGCCCAGGATCACGATTAGCAGCACGATGCTCACGAAGATGGACGTCAGCGGGGGCAGTACAAACTCTCCGGCTGCGAATTCCTCCAGGAGCAATGGAGTGTCCGATAGGGGCACCAAAGTCGTATTGCTGTCGCCCACGTTGCTGCTGGTGATGCCTTGATACGAGACTATGGCAATGGGGCTGCTGTTCATCGAGGGCAGGCTATAGGATCCCGAGCCCGAGCCCGAGCCCGAGCCCGATCCCGATCCCGACGACGAGGCCGAGGCTATGGCCCCCAGGAAGGCGCTACTGCTGTTGAAGTCCTGCAAGGAGGACGACTCCGTCTCGCCTTCCACGAGCGGAGCGGGAACGGTGGCCTTGCCCGCCGCATAGGCTATCCAGCTGCTCAGAAAGAGCACGAACAGAGTCAGCGTGGCGGTGGAGATCAGTTTCTGGTGGTTTCCCTGGGCTCTGTGGTTTCTGTGCTGGCGGTGGCTCTGATGGCGCCGCCAGTCCTGTCCAGATAAAGCCATCCGCAGTCTTTCAATGGTGGCAGCGGGCTAACGCGGCGTATGAGCAACCCAGTGCTGACCTGCTGCCCAGCATAATCGCCTCCTCGAGCCTCAGCATCATTGCGTATACGCCACCGTGCCGCGTTTTACTTCGACACTCTTGTCATTAATCATAATTTCAATAAAAATAGAGCCCTCTTATAAGTTTCGCCTCGAGTCGCGTTGCTTGATTACTAATTTATGTGGGGCGTTTGCCTAATAAAAACGCTGCCTCAGGCTACCAGCTGATGTGGTCATTGACGTTTATGCCTTGTACTCCGGGTATCTCATTCAATAAATCTCTGTGGCTTGCCGCAGTCGGTTTGGCAGACTGTGTGATTGTCGCCGGGGCTGCAAAATAGAAGGGGAGGAAATTCATTACTCAGCTGGATTTATAAAGTGCAAATGGCAGTGTCTTAAAGACTAAAATTTAAATTCGCATAAAATTCAGGGGCCTAGGGGCGTCATTCGTCCCACACTTTTACATTTTCTTCATCGCTTTTCCAAGCACACAAAGACCTCAACACACGCACATGTCGCCCTAATGATGGTCACAGTTGTTACATTTTCCAGAGAAAATTTTTAAACAATGAAACAATGGGCGAAAAAGGAAAATAATAGAGAAGAAACCGCGAACCACGTTTTCATGGCCCGGCGGCCATCAGCAGATGGTTTGTGTACCCGCCAAGAGTTTTCCCCATTTCCCTGCCGCGCGGTGAATCATCAGAGCCTGTCGTTCGTCCTTTTGTATTAATTTTCATACTTCTTTTGATTATTGAATTGTTGGCTCCCGCCTGACCGCCTGACCCGCCTACACATCCAACCAGCCCACCAGCACTTGACGCTCTCCGCAATGCGAAACAAATAAACAAAGGGCAGCTAAAAGGCGGTGGCGCCTCCGCCATTGTTGCGGCCATTTTCGTGGGGCGCTTCCGTTTGGCATTTTTATTTATTTCGCCCTTTTCCCCGGCCTTCTGCCTTTGCGGTCAGTAGTCCTAGAGGGAAAGGACGACGAAATACAATTTATACTGCTCCCTAATTGAATTCCATGGCTAGGCATGCGAAGGTGTCGTCGAACCTCTCGCATTTGAGAAGCCGCTTTAAATCGCCATTTGCGAGTCCCGTTCTCATATGTCTCCCTGTGCGATTTATTGAATTGAAGGCGGCCAAGTGGCAATTGAGCCGCGAAAATCTGGCGAAATGGAATGGGTGGCAAGGACGTCTAGACGGCCAGACACTGCCACACCTGTGCGCCAGGTGCTACACTCAGGCATTGTGTGAAACTGGAGACAAGTTTCAGAGCGCCAAATTGAAGCTGGAACACAGCATCATTATGAAACTACATATTCTCTGAGGAAAAAAATTGCTGCCTGCACTGGCCAAGAATTACAAGTAGGTGGGTTGTACAACAGCTCATTTACTACATTTTAAGCTAGTACTTTCGTTAATATGGACTTTTTTGTTAAGCTGACTGTGTTTATTTTGATTGTAAAGCCTATAAGTAACAAGTAAGCGAAGTAACTTTTTTACGTTTCCCTTAAAAACTTTACAAATATTTTTCAAGCCCGCATGCTCTATTCATCCTGCGCATTGTTAAAGAGTTCCATATGACCACTGGAAATAGTTGACAATTTATAGCCCCACAACATTTGGAGTGTCACTAAATTCTAAACAAGTTGAACAACAAAGAGGCATGTACACGAATACCAGCAAACTAATCGGCCGGGTATAATGATAAATAGCACTGCAAAAACATTGCACTGTTTGGGTTTGAAATTTTTGGAAAATTCATCTCTAGCGGGAAATTGTGCGACAATTGAAATTTCGAATTGCGCACGAGTTCATTTCGTGATTTCATGCTGCCAGCTACTGCGAATGCACTCGAATTTATTTGCTTTTGGCGGGTGGCTGCGCTCGAGTGACTTTCGGTGTTAATTATGCTAATCAAGGGGACAAGATGGCCCAATTATTTGGTCAGCAAATAGCGAGTCGTAAGCCGCTTTAAGCCCCGTCGTCCGGAGCTGCGACTCCTGTCCGGATGAATTCTCCTGGCAACAGGACATAAATAATGTAATTTAATTATGAATCGTTCGGGGGAGCATGGTGGGCGATTTGGCAGCTAAGGCTTAGAGAGGCCTCCTCCGTTTGGCAGTGGCCTTATTTGTATTATTGCCCAAGCTGACAGGGGCGTAAATATTCATAGGTTTTAATATTTATGTCCTTCGTCCTGCACGGGCAACTTTCTCTCAGCCAGCTTTTTCCTTCCTCCCCACCATATCTGGCATTCTCCTGCGGACTCAGAACTTTTCAAATATTTGGCAGTTTCTCTGGCTTTTGCGGCAGCGTCTTGAGGTTTGCCGCAGCCGCTCGACTTTGCTGACAGGACCTCTTCAGCAGCTGAATGCCACTCGAAATCTGGGAATCGGGGGAGACCCAGCAGCTAAACAAGTGTAATTTTAGTTGGCCAACTGCTACACTTTGTTGGAAGGCAGCAAATAGTTTACTACGAAGAATTCCATTTGGATTTATGCCGCCACCCCTTCTGTCTTATTAGGTCCTGTGCGGATTTACTGGCTCGCCATTCAGTTAACACAAAATATATTTTATGGCCGCGCTGACGCTTTCAGCTCCTTAAGTTTTCATCGGCCCCCGAATAAGCTCATCCAGGGAAAAAGATAAAAGCTGGATGCGCATAAAGTGCTTTTTAAAATCAGCGAGCGTAAACTTAATTTTTGCAGATATCGCCGCAATTGTTTCAAGCAGTCCGCCCGAGTATCGCCCACAGCAGCCACTCAAAAACTAAAGAACTGCGAAACTCGAAAGGGAATGCGATGCAGTTGATGGTTGCAGTTTATGGTCTGCTGCCCCGCCCACCAGTCCACCAGCCTCCCTTTTATGGGGTTTGGTTTGGCTTGGCGCCGCCACTCTGGCGCATTAAGATTTTCTTTCGCTTTTTACCACACACACACACACAGACTGCATTTTTAAAGCCAAGCAGATTTGTGGCTGAGCAGCGAAAGTCACGAGGCAAGTGACTCACTGGTAAAGTGAGACAGCAAAAAAAGTGTAATAAATTGGCAAAAAAACAAGGCGAAAGTGCAGGCGGCAAGCCTCAGAAGATTAAATGTGTGCGGCCCACTAGTCGTATGCGCAATGTTCGGCCAATCATTTCAGTGAATATTATTGTGTAAACATGATTCCTCGAGAGGCTCTCTTCGGCATTAGACAAAAACCATCTGAAGTTGTACTACAAATCGCTTCAGCTTCCTTGTCATTTTAAGAAGGTGGCTGAAAGTATTCAATTTGATTTTGTAAAAGGATTCCATCCAAAGGATGCCATCGTATAAGACATACCATTTTACGTCTTTTTAGATGTGAGCAAGTCATTATAGAAAATTCAGTCAGCCCGCATTGCCAAAAAGACAGAAAACTGCAAAAAGGGAGCCTCAGGAGATTAAAATCTCGGCGTATGCGCCCTGTTCGCCCACTCATTTCATATGCTTCGCCAGCGCTTTTCAATTACAAAGTCATAAAATTTGATTTCTCAAGCTCCACATTCAATTTTTGCCCGAACTCTGCTTATTTACGGCCCACTCGCATGCGTTATCCTTGCAGCATTTTTGCCATTTGCCAAGTGCCCGATGTAATTTCAACCTGACACATCACACGAGGGACACGTCTCGTCTCGAGAGCTCACAAAATTGCTGTAAATGGATGCGAGTTAAAAAGCCAGCAATTTTAAATTGCCGCTGTCGACATTGGCGCCCCTTTTTGGGGGACTTTGGCTGGCTGGGTAAAAGGGGGGCCCGAAATGGGCTTCCGAGGGGTGAATTCTTCCGCACTTGATGTTTATGTGTCAAGCTGCTGGTTACATTGCCTTACACTTTTTCCGCTCGGCGTTTGGCGTGGTTATAAATAATGAATGCGTTGATTTCGAATCATATATTTATGCCAGGGAGCTTACACCGAGCAACAAAATATGGAAAGCAATCAGAGGGCGAACTTTAAAGCTTTATTGATTATTTTGATTACTAATATTTGATAAAGTACGTATCATATATTCCAGTTCAAAATAATCATTAGAATTGGCATTTATAATTTTTTTAGAATTGACAGCTTGATAACACTGCCAATTGAATAACCGATTTCCGTTTGCTATAGGATCTAATGGTTAGAGCAGTCTCGATATCCCTTTAAATGGAATTTAAATGGAATGTGCCGCCTTTTTCAAATGTCGAGGTAGGGGGGGAAAAGCATAAAAATAAGTAGAAATATAAGTGAATCATTGTTTACCATGTATTTTGTTTGAGAGTGTTTGACACAAGTTCGTGTAAAATTCCTGGCATATGTAGGCATTTCGGGTGGTGTGTGTGCTTGCCTGTTTATTTGTGTGCATAATAAAATTTGTTCACAAAACATGTGTAGCAACGAGAGGCAGAACAAAAACATTTGCTTATCTTTAGGAATTCCCATCCTTCTTGTTCCGACATTTTCACTGGTGTTTCATTTTTGATAATGTTTTTGCATTTAAAGTTTACGTGGGCGTATGAGTGATATGATTTGCATACGAGGAAGCGCTAGTCTGCATGTGCGACGTTATAAAGCATTGAGTTTTACATAAATTGCGGGTACAGCGACGAGCCCGTCTCGTTTTGACTTCTTTTCCGTTTCCTGTTGGAAAACAACACGAAATACGTTTTGCCTTCTCCATGCCCACATTTCCGCACAGCATTTGCATATTGCGTGGCTGCGTCTTATAGTCCTTTGTTATTTTCATTTGATTATTTATGGCGCCATATGAAGAAACATCGCCCCGAAAGAAGAAACATCGATGATTCCCGCCAAAGGAATTCATGCTTCCTACATAAATGCCCGTTTTGTCAAGTCAAACATTTGTTGTTGCCCTTTTATAGCTCATTCTGTTGTTGTCGGTTGTTTTTTCGCACAATTTATTGGTTTTAAAATTATTTCTCTGGCGCGCTGTGACATCATCATAAAAAATACCATTTCGCATTTATTTACGGAAATATTTCGGTTGATGTGTCGCCTTTGTCCTTGTGCATTGTCCACTCTCCATTGTCCTGCCGCCCCTTTCATCACATTGTGGGCGGCAATCACAACTGCTAATTGTTGGCAAATTTCCAACTTGTTGGCCTCCTGTTCGAGCCACGTACTTGTCAGGGGCTTCAATCAATGTAATGGCTCACCACCAGCCCAATTGCAATCGATTTGATTTTTCACCCTGCTCACAGAAGAACCCATTTAATCCCAGTTTCAGTAACAAAAGCAAGGGGAATCTGATACCGATGCTTTAATCTAATGCAATCTAATCCGGCTGGGGAAACTGCAGC